AAGCACTGATTTTTCTTGATATAATTTAGTAATTTAATGGGACTTTACTCATTGAAGTCTAATCGGATTATCAAAGGTAATAGTGTTAATAACATTTTTCGGGTTTTAGCCACCCTGGCTCATCTGTGGGTATAAGTGAAAAATATTACATCACGTACGTCTTCCTGCATACTCTTGGTATTCAACACATGGAAACTTGTCATATGTGTCTTTTTTTTCTTATAAAGATAAATATGGTATGACACCCCTTGTAGGGCCCTGCTCTACTTTGTTTACTATACACTGACAGCTTCATGTAAATCTTTCATAACATGTTAAGTACTAACGAGCATTATTTTGATGCATTTACCTTGAGATGCAAACGATTACACAGTTACATTGTGAATAAATATACATTTTTCTTTACATGCGTAAGAATTTCATTCAGAAGTACACTACATTAAGGGTGATGGTTATTCGTTCACTAGTGTTTCGGAAAGTAACAAAAATGTTCAAGTCAAATCGAATTAAGGATATCCAATCCTCAGCTAGGAAGGATAACTCTTAAATTTAGTATTTTATTTAAAAAGTCTCAAAATGAAGCATGAAATTGAGATCTTTTCATGCAACAATTTTCATTTTATGCATCATAATATGATTCAAGGTTCTTTGAAGTCTTAGAAACAGCCTTGTAAATATTTGATATTTGTACCCCACAAAAGAAAAAAATGAATTCATTTTTAGAGAAATTGAATTTCCTTTAGTCTAGCATTAGTTACAACTGCTTATTAGCATGATATGAAATTAGATGTGATATGTGATGTCTAGCAATGATAGCACAAGCTTTTTACACTAAGTATTATATCACAATTGAAGTAAAAAGAGGAAGTAAAATAATGAATAAGCATAAAAAAGGTAAAATTTTCTTCAAATGCCTGGATACCTATATTTTTCTATCCTAAATTATATTTGTTGATCAATTTTCAATTAGAAAATGCAAAGCTGGTGTTTTTATCTGCATTTCTTGAAAATATGTTTGAGATTTGATAAGTTTCCCTATATAATATGATTAACTATAAGGATGAACTTTGAAGAAATTCCATGGGTACGTTCACGTTATTATTTGAAATCTGAGACATTTTTGTGAGCATGTTCAATTACTTAAAAGCTGATTTTCAGAACCTGAAGATTGGAGTACCTTATATTAAGAAAGCGCGACTTATCCTATTCTGTCTATAAAGCATTGTGGTCTTCCAGAATATCATTGTTTATAAAGAAGTTTCATAACAATCACATTGCCTCCATCTACCGGCAATGACGCCATCTCTAATTATAGAATGTATCGATTGATTTTGGACACAGCTCATACTTCGTTTGGGGTTTAGCGGGAAACGTTCATTCAGCAAATTATGTACAAGGTCGTTTAAACTATTTTCTTTGCCCTAAATTTTCTAAGGGAAGAATAATTACTAATCCTGTTAATACTAAAAAATCATTTACAAAATTGACTAGGTGTACAAGGAACTGAGAAGAATACATGCATAAGTACTAAAGCTTTTTTCCTTGCAACTTTAATTAAGAACTCTGTAAAAAGTTTGATAGTTAATTTATCTGCACAGTTATTTTTTCTTTACAAAGGTTTAGTCCATTTGATTTCCTGTCTCATCCCATTTCACAAAAAAATGTCAACATGACCTCTTTCCAGTTATAAAGCAATTGTTAAATTAAAGGCAACATCATACTACTCGATATAACAATTATGTATGTTAAAGAAAATCATTTAAATAAAACATCTCATTGGGTCTTATTTTGGTTGACTTGTTTCAAACCAATTGTTAGGACTTTGTTTTTTTTTACTGAATTAAATATGGATAGTTCCGTCTACTTGATCAATACATAGCGCTCACGGTGGGTGTGACCGGTCAACAGTGGATGCTTACTCCTTCTAGGCACCTGATCCCACCTCTTGAGTCCGTGTTTTCTGCCCTTTGCACATAATTGTATTGCTTATGGATTTTTGAGATCGATCAATGTTCGGTATCTTTACCTTTCACATTACATAGGGTTATCCTTTACTCGTAGTACTCAGTTGACAAATAATAGATAGATAGATAGATAGATAGATAAGGAACAGCGCGCTAGACCGCTTTGCTATCTAGGCAAGTCCAAAAACTTGCTTTCGATGCCGATGGAATTCTCGCGGCGCTGCTCTACACTACACGGTCATTGAGAATGGAAATGAGATACAGTTATTTGGACATTAGTTTTATTAGAGGATCGTTACCAATACAATTAATTTTTATTTATAAAGCACATTTTACAACAACTCTTAAACTTACATAACTTCCCTAAGTGAAGAAATATTAATATAGAAAGCTTCTGAGTACGTGTGTGCACAATCGGAATGTTTATTTACCAAAATAATGTTGCAAATAGCCAACAACAAAGTATGTAGATTAACAAGTTCCATTTTAATTGAAAAAGCAGCTGTTTATGATGTCAAAAAGTCAGAAGTTTAATTTTTCGTGGGGAATAGTTGAATAAAGTATTGAAAAATTGTACGTTTTGCTGTGATAGGTTCTGATATAATTTTTTTATTTCAAATTTTCGAAAAATCCAAGTTTTTGACTTTCCACTTCTGATAAATACCACTTTTTAAAATGTTTTTATACGGTCCTCCTAAAGTTCCTCCTTCCCCGCTGTTAATATTTTGGTGAAAAAAAGGCCGGGTAGAATATTTACTTGAACCCGCTATGTAACTTGTGTTTGTAAGGATTTTTATGTAGTTTAGGAATCCAGTAGAGGTATGGTAATTCATATTCATTTTGATTGTTGGGATTATTAAAAATATTTAAAACTTGTCATAATGAAGAATATCCTCCTTAGAAAGGGAACTATATGTGTAAGTTGAATTACCACTCACAGAATTGATTGATTGATTGTTTGTTATTTAACGTCCCATTCCAGAATTTTTCACTCATAGAGAGACGTCACCATATACCGGTGAAGGGCTTCAAATTTTGACCTTTACTCGGCACTTAGGGCAATTGAGCAGTGAGGGATCTTTATGGTGCCAACGCCTGTCGTGACACGGGGTCTCGGTTTTTAAGGTCTCATCCGAAGGACCTGCAACTTTCACTTCAAAGTGCCGAGTGCATGGCGAAGGAACAGTTGCTACCCATTTTTATCGACTAAGGTCAGTCGCGGCCGAGATTCGAACTCACGACCTCCCGAACACGGAGCGAGCGTTCTACCGACTGAGCTACCGTGAACGGTCTCTGAATTATTGAAGACAGAAGGATAGATTGTTTTCATCTTGCCCTTCAACCATTTCATGCAAGATTTCAACATCTATTTGATACTTTTAATTCATTCTGATAAAGTGTCAGCTCCTCTTTTCAACGTCTGGCCCATCGTCATCCACGGAATTCATAATATTTATGAAATTTTGACGCCAGTTAAAAGATCCAGGTTGCCTAAATTTTATGTGATTTAAGGTCCTCATTTTAAACTACTTAGTATATTTACATCACTAAAACAATCACGAGTTCCGCTGAACTATACATGTAGGGTGAAAAAGAACATGCACACACAGGAGTATTATGTTTGAGTTTTTTGTAATTAAAAAAGTTTGGAAGCAATAGTCGATGAATATTTGTACGAACTACAAGGTGTGAAGTACTACTTGAAATTGGAAGAAACACAAGACATGATCCTTTTGTGATAAAAAAAAAATTATACTAAGATTTTCTGTGTATTCCTTTGTTGACAAATTTAAACTTAACGAACATAAAGGATACTTGGGCTGATTCTTTTCTTCTATAAAGCGTAACGGTTTAAAAAGCCTTTGATTTTTAATATCCATTATCTCAGATGCAAACTGTATTTTTGTGTCGCAGAATCAAAATTTGATCTTTCCTTGACCTTTTCAAATAGACCATTCAATACTTTACGTCTCTGTGTATTGTTAAAACACCCCCATCGCATTCACATGGCTACCCTGTGGACTTGAGAGATTCCCAACACACTTGTTATAGCTACTATATGAAAATGAAGTGCTTAGTTTCCTAATCTAGTATTCTTCGCGTTGTCTACAGAAAAGTGTACCCAGAGATGGGCTATTAGTATTTTATACGGTATTGTTGAAAAGGGCTGCTTTCAAATTATTGGCAGTTAATCTAAGTTAAGCAAGGTGAAGCCTAAATAAACGTTCAATTTCCTTAAATGAAAAAGTTTATGGAAATACAGATGTATAACATGATGTGAATTTGAACATGTAAATGGATCCAGTTCCTGTTTTTTACTTAGTACCTGTCGCCCGCGTGGTGCAGTGATTAGAGCCTTCGCTCTAGAGTCGCGGAGTAAGGAGTTGATCCTTACGTCGCGGGTTCGAATAACACTGTGGGATGTGAAGACCGGCCTCTCCGGATAAAAGCATATAAACCGAGATCCCGTGTTGCAGTAGGTGGTAGCACGAAAAAGATCACACACTGCTCAATGGCCCTAAGTGCCGAGTATAGGTCAAAATTTGCAGCTCTCCACCGGCAAGTGGTGGCGTCTCCATATGAGTGGAAAATTCTCGAGAGGGACGTTACAGTAGATTCCTAAATATACGCCATAATAATAAATTATCGGGTAATTTCGCGAGAAGCACCACTCGCGAAATTAAATTACTCGCTTTTATTTTTATGGTGCTTTAATGTATGTAAAATCTCTAGATAAATCACCCCTTCGCGAATTATTGTTCTTGTGATTTGACGACCTTGGGCAATTTCGCGATATTACGTACTCGCGTAAAATAAGGAATCTACAGTAAACAATAAACAAAGAAACAAAACTTAGTACCTAGCATTTAAAATTAATACTAGCTTTCCTTACGTAGCAGATAATCTACGAAGTTGCTACAATCCTGAACGGACTACAATATCTTCAAGATAATGTATATTCCAGTGAAATTGAAACTTTTTTAATGCTTTAATTAAAATTGATGTTTTACCTAAAGATATGACTTTGTTTTGTAGCTTTTGACTGGACCATTATAGGACTTAATATTGCGACGTCTGTGTGTCTGACGGCTATTCCTTTTTTCTGGGTTCTCCTGTCATGCATGCTTTGCTGCTGCAAAAAAGACGACTCAGACGACAAATGTGCTGACGGTTGCTGCAGTTGCTACACGTTCTTTTATGCTGCTGGAGGTGAGAATGATAGATTGATTGTGTGTTTTCATTTCATTCCTAAATCTTTCACTTCACTCAAGTATAGGCATCACAATCTTTTGGTGAAGTGCCAAACATTTTGGCCATTGGTTTTTAGAGACAAAGCAGTGAGGGTCCTTTATCGAGTGTACGCTTTGCATGACAATGAGCACAAAACGAATTTGCTAAAACAACTTGTTGTTGGGTCGTGTTTGATTGTCATGTTTCCTACCAAATGTTAGTTCATTGTCTTTGCGGACTACGAATTACTCTGTTTTCTGAGATCAATACCACTATAGATACTTAATTAACACTTCCCGATTCCACCTTTTGTTGTTCCTTGCTTTTGTCCATGTTTTTTTTTTTGCCCTGTTAATGAATTGTATTGTGCAAAGGGATCACTGTTTGTTATTTAAACCTTTTTAATGGTGTCAATTTTGTCGAGTAGAGAGTAACTTAATATAGTAGTCTTGTATGTTTTTTGAAAGACATTATCATTATGAAGTCAAACTCAGTTATACAGTGATGCAATATTTCATATGCGCTGCATCTACATGCTTATGATCGGCTCTCTTGATCTAAATACCAACAGCTTTTGTGTTGATTGGTAAATGTAATTTGATTAACAAAGGAAGTGTTGCAATTTCCAAAATGTCTAATTCTGTAATTTAATTGCATTGAAATACATGTATATTATTTTCTGTATGCAAATTAACATAAAAATTATATAATAATTCTTGTTTGCTACCATCATTTAGAGTAGCAATTAGATATGATGACTCAAATTCTTGATTGCTGATACTTAAATATAAGATAGGCTTTTAAAGATTTCTTTTTTAAATTGCACTGAAACAAAATAATGGTTTGCATTTTCAAACTGTTCCATTATGTGTTTAATTGCTTTTAAAGTTGAGTACTTCCATTTGTGAATAAGAAGTCCTTTCATGAAAGTCGATTACCCACAAACATTTAATATATACATTGTAGCTTAATCTAAAATATTCATATTTGTCTCTGCATCTTAACCAAATACTTTCAATTCCTTCGTAGTTTGTTTGATTTTATATTTGCTTTAATTGTATGCCTATTTATTGCATTATCATCAATATATAATTTCCATTCTGGTTTCTTTCCTTTTGTGTCACTATCTCATATCGTTTTGATTAAGATCACCGTTCAAAAGCACAATGTACTTGTAATTAAAGAATTAAATAAACAATAATTTTAGCATCAACTGTTATTATAATTTTGTTTTCTGTTTAATAAAAATTATATAGTCATGGCTTTGCGACGAAAGTGGTTGTTGTTAAGTTCGCCGACAGACAAAAATATTAGTTCGATGATCCCTACCTCTTCTTATAATCAACAAAAATTAAACCCTTAAAATCAGTTTTAAGAGGATAGAAAAAAGGGGGTGTGGATGGTTTGTTTCAACATCCTTAGCTATAATTTAAAGTTTTTCCTATTGAATTTCAAAACGTTCTATCAGATTTTTTTTTGGTTTTCTTTCAATTAAACACATGCTGAGTAATGTCGAATTTATGTAAATCGACATTATGTTTATGTAGGCATAATGGTAGATTTTTTCTATGGATCACTAGAAAACTGTCTTGAGGAACTCATATGGGATGAAGAGATAAAAAGAAGTTGGGTGAATAATGTCAGAGATGATAACAAATTAATTTATGAAAATGCGAGCTTTGAACTTGTAAATCATTTCATACTTTATATGTTGAATCACAATCAATGTAATGTCCTTCAATGAACAGTTGTGAAATTGTTAAAACTGTGCATCTCTAGTGTTATTTGGTTAAATTCGTTGTAATTAAAAAACTTGAAAGTTTAAAAAATAAAAGTATTTTGGATGAAAAATATAAACTTTGTGACTCAAAAGAAACGGGCAGGTTCATAAACAAACTATTTCTGTTTTAGATACTTTGCTAAGAGTGGAGAAAAAAGCTTTTAGTGTTTACAATGATGGTAACAAATATTAATGTATAAAAGAAACGTTAACGCCAAATAATAGGAATTGTTGTAGAATATGAATATTTACATTCAGTGTATTTTTTTCTTTATAAAATCCATTGGAAATATACAACAATCAACCCCTATAATTAACACACACGTCTTACGTCTATTCATTATACCGGTCCTGAAAGGTGCTAAATTAAAAATAAAGATTAATCAAATTAAACTAACACAGGACAAGTGCTTTTATACGACCGACACATCTAAAAATAAGAATTCAATGATTAAATATATTAAAAGCAGCACCAATTATATGTATTCAACATTAGGAGTAGCGCATTATTTTACGATAAACAAGGTCAAGAATTACTATTTGTACGAGTTTTAATCTCTATTTATCCCCTTCCCTTTTTTCATTTCTAAAAAAGTTTGCTTTGTTTTCTATTGTACATGATATATTGGGAAAATTATTCCCTTTTTTTTGGTCTCTTTGGGTCTGTTAGGAATACAAGGCGATTAAAAGAGAATGGAGATTGATTATTATTACATTGTAATTTAAAGATGGGTCTCTTTATTCATTTCTTGCAAAGAAGATAAAAAAAAATATATAATAATAAGAAGAAAAGTGTTGATAACCAAGCAGCAGACCCATGTTCCTGATCTCTGTGAATGCGGATCGTTTAAATTACACACTCATATTTTGTAGGTATCCTGGGCTTTGCGTCAACTTTGATTGTGGTTTCAAAATTTGATCACAACCAGTTGGGATGGTCTTTCTTTCTGACAGTTGTATCATCTTCAGTGATTCTGTTGCAGGTAAAAATATTAATAAATATCCATCTTCTTTTAAATACCAAAATTTCATTTTAAAGACATATTCACTTTTTTAGCTAGTGCTTTTAGTCATCTTCTTTGTTTACTCTTGAAAAAAAAAAGAACAACAAATGTACAATATTTCTTATTAATAAACTTATGTTTATTAAATACCGGAATTACAGACATTTTTATAAATGTTATTAATTTTTTCAGCTAGTGCTTTTAGTCACCTACTTTGTTTGTTCTCGAAAAATGAACGAAAAATGCACAGTATTCCTTGTCTACAGAAGACGGCATTCAAACTATTACGTTTAAATTAAACTATGTACGTATCCAGTGTATTTAATAATATGTTGTTTTTTTCTGCCAACAAACTTATTATTGGTATTTACTGATTAAAATACTTATAAAGCATATATAGAAATACTTATGAAGAGTGAAAGATAAAAATATTATGATTATTCATTTCTTTTTTTTTATTTATTTTGACAAAAAATATTCTATAAATAAATCTCTCGTGATACGTGATACAAATATTTTTCATACCATTTATCCCTCCTTTTTTGAAATATATTATGTCTTTCCACCTTCTGCTTGGAAAACATCTAGAAATTGTTCTGGAGATTTTTTATGTCACCTGAGTCATTCAGGTGACCTATTGCTATCCGTTTTTGTCTGTCGTCGTTCTTCGTCCGTCGGTCGTAAACTTTTGAACATTTTCAGCTTCTTCTCTGGGAACACTGAACCAATTTTAACTAATTTTTGCATAAAGCATCTATGAGTGAACGAAAACAATATTTGTGAAATTCATGGCCCTTGCCCCCGGCGCCCCTGGGGCCTGAGGGATGGGGCTAAAACCATCGAAATTAATGCAATCTGTAAAAATATTTTTCTTTACTATGAACATCAAGAAGTCAAACTATTGGCATGAATGTAATGAACATTCAGCCCTCGTCCAAAATTGTGAAATCCATGGCCCCTCCTGGGTATTAAATATGCTAACTACATGGTTAACTAACTACAAATTAACAAGACTGCCTCTTCCAGAATTGTGAATTTCATGGCCTCTGGGTCAGGAGTTCTGGTGTTAGGGCAGGCTCTATTGTTTATATAGTTAAAATATATTAATTCTTTGAAAATCTTCTCTGCTTCTGGGTACGAAACAATCTAACCTAAGTACATTGTTATGATGAGCAAGAGTGTCTCTTCCAAAATTGTGAATTTCATGGCTCAAGGGTCAGGGGATCTGGTGTTAGGAGGCTCTTTTGATTATTTAGTGAAAATACATTAATTCTTTGAAAATAATCTTCTCTGCTCCTGGGTTTTAAATAAACTTACTAAGTACATAGTTATGATGAGGAAGAGTGCCTTTTCAAAAATGAGAATTTCATGGCCCCAGGTTCTGGGGTTCTGGTGTTAGGGCGGGGCTCTATTGATTATATAGTGAAAATGCATTAATTCTTTGAAAATCTTCTTCTCTGCTCCTTGGAATTATTTCAATAAATGAAGTGCATGGTTATGATAAGCAAGTGACTCCTCTAAAATTTTTTTTTTTGGGTTGCTTATTGTTTAACGTCCCTCTGGAGAATTTTTCACTCATATGGAGACACCACCACTTGCCGGTGGAGAGCTGCAAATTGTGACCTATACTCGGCACTCAGGGCCATTGAGCAGTGAGGAAACTTTTTCGTGCCAGCACCTACTGCGACACGGGACCTCAGTTTATACTGTTTAATCCGAAGGACAGGTCTCCCATCCCACAGTGGTTCTAAAATTGCTAAAATTGTGGAATTCATGCTTCAGAGTCAGGGGCTCTGGTGAGGGGGGGGGGGCTCTATTAATTATATAATAAATGCATAATAACTTTCAAAATATTTTTTCTACTCCTGGTTATAAAGCAAAGAAACATGTGTATGGATACAATGAACAAGGGCGTTTTTACAAATTTTTTAAAACTTGTGGTTCCAGGGGTTCTGGTGTTTCTCGGGGGGGGGGGGGGTGCGCTACTGATGATATAGTGAAAATGTGCGAGTTCTTTGAAAACCTTCAACTAATTGCATAGTTATGATAATGAGGATACTTCTTCCAAATTTGTAAATTTCATGACCCTGGGTTATGGGTTCTGGCGTTAGGGTAGGGCTGTATTAAATCTGTAGTGAAAATGCATTTCTTTATTTCTTTTTTCTCTGCTCCTGGGCATATTGGAGGCAAACAGAATAAATGTTTTAATAGCAAGAATATTTTTACCAAAATTTTGAACATCTGGACATTTAAACAAGTGTTCTTTGTATAATACAAAAAGTACTTTCATAGTTTTAATGATCAGGTAGACATGGAAATAATAGATGAATAAAAATGAGACAAAAATAACTTATCTTTTGAAATGTTCTTCAAAGGCCAAAAGAGGCCAATGAAAGAGGTAATAATATGGGTTAAAGATAGATATTTTGTTGATAGTCCACATGGTAATAGTGATAAATGCTTTTCATTTACCCGATCATGACAAGGATGTGACCGGTCGACTGAGGATGCTTACTCCTCCATGTCACCTGATCACACTTCTGAAGTTTTTAGAGGTCCGTGTTTGCTCTACAACAGGAATGAAAATGCTAATTGACAAAACATCGTCGAAATATCTAAATGTAGAATTGAATGCCACAACAAGAAACTTCTTTTCTTCATGCAGGATTTGAATAAATTCTGCTTCATATGAATACTAATAGATCTGCTAGTAACGGGGTGCAATTTAGTACCCATGGGAATTCCAACAAATTTTGACGCCAGTTGAAAGAATGGTGTTAAATAAATTTTGTCTTTTTTGAAATAAGTGATTTAAGGTAATTGTTATTAAATATATTTAAGTTACTAGTAATGGCCTGTCCAGCAGGATTTAAAGTATAGGGTTAAGAAGAACATGAACAAGAAGAAGGATTATGTTTCAGATATTCGATATCTAAGCATTGTTTTGTAATTAAAGAGTTTGGAAGCAAGAGTCAATGATTAAATAAAGTAGTAAGATATACAAGATGTGGACTTCAATTTGAAAGATGGTGGAATGCAATACTGGTCATTTTTTATTAAGAATATTACTAATAATTACTGCGTTAATTCTTTTGTTTTAGTAAATTTAAGGAACATACAGGTTTCCAGTACGTTGGTAGTATTTTCTTCCGTTAAAACGTTATGCTTTCAAAAGTCTGTGATTTACGATATCCATAATGACAGATCTGAGTTTGTATTTTGGTGTCGAAGAAACCAAACTCCGGACTTTTCTTGGCCTTTTCAAATAGACAATTTAAAACTCTCAAAGGGACAGAGTAACGTTTGGTGCGAATGTGATAAAGACCTAACAGTTTATTTATATAAGGCAGTAGTGAATCAAAAGAGACATCGTGTATAATAGGTCTATTTTATGACCAATGACCATGCTTATGTCTCTGTGTATTGTTAAAAAGTCACACCACATTCACATTACTACACTGTAGAATTAAAAGAATCCAGACATTGTACCATATGGAAATGTCGTGCCTGGTTTCCTAATCCAAAACTCTTCTTGTTGTCTACGGAGAGGTGTACTCAATAATGGGCTATTAGTATAGTGGTAAATCTTTTCAAGAATTCCAACTTTCATTGACAAAAAAAGAATGATCAGGTAAATTAAAATGCTTGTAGAGAAGCTGAGGTGGGATCAGGTGTAATGGAGAAGTAAACATCTTCTGTGGAATTATCTGCAACTTTGACTTGAAATCTAAGGTTTTAAAGTTTGACATCATTCAGAATAAGAGAAATTCTGCTGTTTAATATCTCTTTTGTCTTTTAAGATATGTTATAAATCATTGCATGTTTGATGATCTGTTTCAAAGACGCCTTTTTAAGTCCTTTCTCCTTGCATGATAACACCTGTTATCACTACCATTAACCATGGCAGGACAAAGTCTTCACGGCTATCTCCTATCACTTTAGGTGATTTTCTAGCTTTTCATTGCAAAAGGATTCATCGATTTCATTTGACAGTTGTTGACCTTTTAAATCTTAAGTTTCTATCATCAAAATCTAACTACTAAATGGTGACTCGTAGAAATATAAGACTGGCTGCAATAGGACCCTTGACCTTGAAAATTGGACTTAGTTCAAAGGACAAGGTCATTGTCTAAAATAATTGCTGATATAGACCATTTTCCCAAATGGCCTTCACCTTTGACCTTTCCCCGGAATAAGGGTCAGAAATGAAATTTAAGAGATTTATCTAGATTCAGCATTCGGTTTATATTTCAGTTTTCAGCAGAGAAAGTAAAGATTTCTTTTAAAATGACTTTGAGCTTGTCATTTGAGTTTTGATCCAAAGGTCGCAATCAAGCTTTATGATGTGGAGTTAGATATAGCCCCCTTAAAAAAAATCACACCAATAGTTATGTGGAATATTTCACTAAAATTCAAACCACACGTCAGATCGAAAAAAAGTTTCAGGGAAATTTAGTCAAGGCCCCAGAGAAACTTTTTGGAGAGCTTTACGAGTATTCTCTTAAGTATATAGAAATTAAAAATTTTATCGACATATTAAAAAAACAAGTTCTGTAGTAATTAAACTTTTGGGCACTGATGGACATTAAAACGAAAAAAAAACTTTTAATCGGCTATTTATTCAGATATTGTTAATAGCATTCAATTATGATATAATATGATATTTTAATACCAGGTATTCTTCCTTTATTTTACATGTGAATTTATTTCAATTTTATTTAGAATGAATCAGTCTCGAGAAATAGCAATTTTCCTTATTCAATAGATGTTCAGGCTTTCGCGTACACCTTTTCATCCTAAAATACATGTTTGGATTTCAATTTATGCTAGTGATATTTAATTCAATCCACACGTATGCTCATTTTAACCTTTCCTGGTAATTTCAGGATATTCAGTCGATCCAACCCACCTTTTTTCAATATTTACAACTAGTCTTACCACTGCAGTTCTAATATATTTTCTGGGCCATTAACTTAAATTATCTTAAGCTATTGAAAACTTAAAACAAATCAGATAAGTATCTTATCAGAAAATTTACATTTTTATTATGCATCAATCATGTCTTTCAAAACTATTTTTTGTATTACAATTATTAATTTATTACAAAGAGGAGAACCGAGTCCGACGCTAATTCCTAGCAGAACAAAGGCATTGGATTTCTTGCATTTTCTATACTTTTCATACCTAAATAAAATGGGAACATCCAAGAAGGTGGAAAGGCCTCTAATTGTAATTTTCTTGCATTTTTTATTCTTTTCATACTTAAATGATATGGGAACAATTAGTTAAGTAGT